ACAGATAATTTTAGCATACGAGTTCTTCGCTATATTCGAGTACGCCACTGTGGCGGGGATTTACGGCTTCCACGTCAGCTCATTTTGGAAGATGACTGGCTCCATTCGTGTCTATCATTCAAGTCTCAAAATGCACAGCATACGGGTATAAAATCAAATTTATTGTACATCACATAAAATAAATAATTCATAATTAGAAAATAAAGTTATCACAATAAGACTAGGAAAAAGGAGAAATTTTGTCAAGCCCGTATTGAAGGAAAAGCATTGAAGACATCAAATACTTACACTATGGTTGCACTAGGAGTAGTAAGGGCACTAAATTGTAAAAGTAGAGTGATAGATCAATTATGTCGGCTACAAATCTTTCAGGCAGTAGAAATCTTGAACTTACTGGATTGATTTTTCATTTACTAAGGTTAAATTTTTTCCTACTTTGATCACGTCAAGCGTTCAAAATGCCTGACAATTGACACTCCACTGTTAGAAAACATTTACCGGGGGTGATATTAGAAGCTTTGGCAAATTATAATTTGGGCTCCGACCTTCCCATGCACTATTTACCCGTAAGCATTTGGAAAAGAAGCGGATAAAAGGCAAAAAGCGCTATCGTATCAATGATTCGAGTAACTTCTTCCGTGATGGATCCAGCTCCATCGAAGCCTGATCAAGTAGAGCACGCTCACCCATCTAAACAATACTGGTTACTGTGTATGATTATCGTATACTTGACTACTGTATCATCTTACCAGTTGGGTGAGTCCTTTAGCAAATTCGGTGATAGCCTTCTTCATTTCGAGGTCCGCCACTCCAGATTTCAAGCTATCCCAAAGTATTGGTAAAGCAACAACTTCTACTTGTTTGGGTTTCGTAGGGTAGAGTTTGCAGTTTAACCCTGCAAAAAAGTCGTTCTTGGAAAGCTGAGGGTTGAAGGTGTAAAATGTACTCACGGTTGAATACGCTAAGCATATATGGTTTTTGTTTTATATTAGCTTTTCGTGTAGCAGCGGCCATAGCTGGAGAAAGACTTGCAGGATCTAAAATGATAAATTAGTGTATGTAAGCTTGGAGTTCCGGTCGTATAAATATTGAATTGAGTACAAGAACTCTGAAAATTACCAAGAGTAGAAAATTTTGAGTCAAATAATTTTGTAAAGTGAAATAAACATTAAAAAATTTCAGTTTTCAAAAACGTAAAACG